CCCGGGCTCCAGCAGCGCGACCCTGACGGCGACCGTACCAGTCGTGCAGCTGCTGTGAGGTGAGAGGCACACGTGGACGAAGGCGGCTACTCCAAGGAGACCGCGCAACAGCAGACTCTGAACCCTCAGCGCCAGCACCCTCAGCAGCTCCAGCGCCACCAGCACCAGGACCTCCAGCAGCTCCAGAACCTCCAGCGCTCGCACCCTCAGCAGCCCCAGAACCACCAGCTCCAGCGCCACCAGCACCAGGACCTCCAGCAGCTCCAGAACCTCCAGCACCCGCACCCTCAGCAGCCCCAGAACCACTAGCTCCAGCACCTCCAGACCCCTCACACGTAGGCTCAGCACCTCCAGGCTCCACACTCTCAAGCTCCGCACCCCCAGGCTCAGCACCCCCAGAAGTAGCACCCCGAGCAGGACCACCCCCAGTAGGACCTGAGTCACCAGTGACCTCGACCAGCGCAAGGAAGGGAGGAGGGTCTACCTGAGACACACCTGAAGGAGCAGGACCGGGAGCGGGGAGGGGGTCTACCTGGGGAGCACCCGGAGCGAGGAAGAGCGGCGGGGGAGGGAGAGGGGCAGTGCGGTAGGGGAAGAGACGGTAAAAGGGAACCGACTCATCGAACGTGACGTCCTGAGACGCAAAGACACGGCGCGAGGTGGGGTGGTAAAACTGCCAACCAGGCGCGTCAGGGACAAAGCCAAGGAAGACACAGGGAACTGCACGGGCGGAGAGCTTGTCCGCAGTGGTATCGCGGACAAAGGCACGAGCACCCCAGACCCGGAAACGCGACGCATCGCCAACCTTCCCCGTCCACAGCAGTGTGGGCGAGGTCTCCGGCAAGGAGACACGGGGCCAGAGGTTGAGCTGATGCGCGGCGTACCGGACCGCAAACGGCCACAGAAAATGGGGGGCAGCCGCATGGATCATGGAGGTACGAGCGACCTCCATGACTAATCCAATGCGGCGCTCAGCAACCCCATTCTGCTGCGGAGAGTCCGGAAGCGTGAACGACTGGGTGATGCCGTGCTCCGCACAGAAGGCTGCCAAGAGGTCTGAGGAGAACTCACCACCTCTGTCAGAGTGCAGACGCAGGACGGGAAACTCCGTCCCAAACCGCTCGCGGAGCTGGAGACGGGCAGCGCGGATCCAAGGGATCAAAACAGCAGGGACCTCCCCCTTGCTGCGCAGGGGAAAGACCGTGGTGTAACGCGTGTAGTCGTCAACAACCAGCAGGAAGTACCGCTCGTGGCCCTGTCCACGGACGCGGGCGGGGCCCCACACGTCCAGGTGGAGAGTCTGCAGGGGAGCCTCTGTGGGAGGGAACGAGGAGGAGTGAGGAGCGGCGCGCTGCCGCCCCTCGACGTAAGGAATGCAGGGCGGCGCAAGCGAGGGAGGCAGGGCAGGCAAAGACCTGGGAAGACCAGAAACCAGGAAGCGAGAGTGCATGCCACGAAGGCGCTGCACCGAGGGGTGACCAAGGCGGTGGTGCCACAGGAGGGTCTGGTGCGACAAAGCGCGACACTCGCAGGGGGCCGTCGGCTGACCTGACGCAGACGCAGACGCAGCTACCTGAGGGGACTCAGTGGTCAGGGTGTACAGACTCGAGCCAGGCGCACGGGTAAACGTGGCCAGATGTCGGCCGGTCCGAGCACACGTACAGTGAGTCACTCGCTGACTCGCAGGAGTGAACTGGTGCACCCCCCTATCCTGGAGGTCAGCTCCACTCACCAAGTTCGTAGAGAACGAGGGGAGGTAAAGACCTGACAGCAAGCCAGACGGGGCGGCCGGACACGGTAGAACCGTGGAGTAGTGGGCAAGGACCGGACCCCCGGAGGGGTCCGCCAGGGAGACTGGAACCGGCCGACTAAGCGGCGTGAGTGTGGTACAGTCGCGAAAGAAGGAGCGGGAAGCACCTGAGTCCAGCGTGAAGGTGTACAAGGCCGCAGCAGGCGCAGACCCAGAGAGAGCAGACTCACCAGCACCTGGAGCAGGAGACGTACCGGCACCTAGAGCAGCAGCCTCACCAGGACCCAGAGGAGGAGACGCACGAGCACCTAGGGCAGCAGCCTCACCAGTACCGGGAGCAGCAGGCGCTATACCAGGGTCAGGCGGGACGCACAGGTAACAGGCACGGTCAACACTAGTAGGTAATGCATACATGGCAGTGAGAATAGCATCATAGTCAGGAGCAAAGATATCTACCCTCCGTCCAAGCAGCTCCAGCCAGTCGGGGAGCTCAGCCTCGTCTCCAAACACTGTACGCCAGTCGTCGCTCAGACGGGCGAAGCAGCGGGACTGTGTGTGACCAAGCGTCCCGCAAGGCTGACCAACCCGATCACCTGTGCGAATGACGTACTGGCAGCGAACTGTACGCGTAGACCTGCTACACTGAGCGTACCACTCGTGGAGCTGCCGGGACGTAAGTGTCTCGCGAGGACGCCGCTGCAGCTGCAGCTGGCCACTGCCGGACGCTCCCAACTGACCAGCTCCAGGGGGACAGCTACGACTGCTACCGCGACAACCCCAGCTAGTATACCACTCACTAAGCTGCTGGGGCGTGAGAGACTCTCGCGAACGTCGCTGGGGCTGCATCTGGCCACCGGCCAGTAGCAGTAGCAGCAGCAGTAGCGCGGGCAGGGCAGGCGCGGCAGGCAGGCAGGCAGACAGACAGACAGGCAGGCAGGCAGGCCGGCAGGCCGGCAGGCAGGCAGGCAGGCAGGCAGGCCGGCAGGCAGGCAAGCAGACAGGCAGGCCGGCAGGCTGGCAGGCAGGCAGACAGGCAGGCCGGCAGGCAGGCAGGCAGACAGGCAGGCCGGTAGGCAGGCAGGCAGGCAGGCAGGCAGGCGCTCACCAAAGGCTGGAAGAGCAGGCGCTCGCCGGGCGAGCAGGGCCGGCGCTCAACGGGCGGCGGCGGAGTATGCGCACGACAGCGGCGACGTCGGGGCCGCAACACCCGGTGCAGAGTAGGGCCGAAGCAGCTGCAGGGCGGGGCCGCTTCAGCGGCAGGTCGGGGCCGTGGCAGCTGCAGAGCGGGGCCGTATCAGCGGCAGGTCGGGGCCGAGGCAGAGGGACGCGCGCGGCTCGGCGCGGGCTGCGCTGACAGCGCGCTGGGCTGCTGCAGGCCGCGCGCGGCCGCGCTAGGCAGTGGCGAGCCGCGCGCGGCTCGGCGCGGGCTGCTGCGGGCCGCGCGCGGGCCGCGTGCGGCTCGGTGCGGGCTGCGCACGGCTCTGTGCGAGCTGCGCGCTGCCGCAGCGGGCTGCGCGCGGCTCGGTGCGGGCTGCGCGCGGCTGCAGCGGGCTGCGCGCGGCTCGGTGCGGGCTGCGCGCGGCTGCAGCGGGCTGCGCGCGGCTCGGTGCGGGCTGCGCGCGGCTGCAGCGGGCTGCGCGCGGCTCGGTGCGGGCTGCGCGCGGCTGCAGCGGGCTGCGCGCGGCTCGGTGCGGGCTGCGCGCGGCTGCAGCGGGCTGCGCGCGGCTCTGTGCGGGCTGCGCGCGGCTGCAGCGGGCTGCGCGCGGCTGCAGGGGGCTGCGCGCGGCTGCAGGGGGCTGCGCGCGGCTGCAGGGGGCTGCGCGCGGCTGCAGGGGGCTGCGCGCGGCTCGGTGCGGGCTGCGCAGGCCTGAAGGGCGTGTAGGGGTGGTGCGCGGGCCTAGGGCAGCAGGAGGCAGCGCTAGGGCTGCTGGACGGCTCGCGTAGTGCAGCACGTCACAAGGCAAGGCAAGGCAGGCAGGTACGTGGGGTAGCGCGGTAACCGCAGTGGTAGGTGGGCCCGAAAAAAAAACGGTCCTACGGACCTTAGTGCTCTGAAACCATGTTAGAATCTGGCAGCAGGAATGATGAACTAACAGCATGCAGGAGTACAAGTAGGAAACCCTAATTTGGTTGTACCCCATATGGGCTACCCCACTACAGCCTAGACAATATGTAGCATATATGTTTGACATTCTCTTCATGTGCAGCGACATGAGGGACAGGAGAAGAGGTAGTAGCAATGGCGGGCGAGTTAGTCTAGGAGGGTGGAAAAGTTCTCTAGGTGTGCTGTTCTAGATTCAGATCTAGAAATGATTTCGACTAGGTGGCAGGTCTATGGACCTGCCACGAGATAAGGAGCACATGACTCCTTACTGCATAATCCTTTACAAGTCTTGTCATAATCTTTAAATTTTGAAAATTGTATTTCAAAATTTTTCATAATGGGGTAAGCAGGGGTCAAGCATGCCCCACTCCCCATGCATGCTCCTCTGACATTCCCCATGCTCCTCTAACACTCCCCATGCTCCTCTGTCCCCATGCTCCTCTGTCCCCATGCTCCTCTGTCCCCATGCTCCTCTGTCCCACTCCCCAAGGGCTGTTCCACGTTTAAAGCGACGGTGCACATTTGCCACCCGAAACCCTAAACCTTGGCGACCAGTTACTGTGGAGGAAAAGTCCCCGCACGAATTCCAGGTTATCGCCAGCCAACACCTTCGCGCTGGCAAGCCTGGTTCAGAACAAAAACTTCTGAACCTCCGCTTGTAAAAAATAGAGACCCTCGTTTTAACCACACGCCACCCCACCATGCTGCCCCGTCAGACAGTGTGTGGGAAGGCAGGCAGGCAGGCATGCAGGGCGGCACAGCACTGACAAGGCGTGGCTTGCCCACCTGCCATCCATGCATCTGATTCCACCCCATTGCAGCATGGCAACAGCAGCGCTGGCAGTGCAGCAGACGCACGGGCGAAGCATTTGGTGCTTCTGAAGTGGCTGTGAAGGCAGGGCATGTGCAAGTGGGAGGGCAAGGGGTGGGACGAAGGAAGGGGAGTTGATGAGATGGGGCAAGTGAGGGCTGCAAATGGGCCCTGCAAACACACAACCCCAACAAGCCTGGATCCGTCCTGAGTTTTCTCACACAGCCCACCCACTATCCAACACAGGTGCACAGAGCCGCACTTGGCTCGCCCAGCATAGCCACTCATACAGCCCACCGATTGTGTTGAGTTGTGCTGAAGGAGGATGAAGTCGGTCAGGGGCCCCAGGGGTGGTGTGCGTGCTGAATCCAGTGCCACGAGTTGGGCGCCGCTGCTGCCTGCGGGGGCTGCAGAGAGGCCTGCGCTGCTGCTGCCTGCGACACAGACATAGTGGCGGCAGCAGCAGCGTGCATGGCTGGCATGGGCGGGGGAGCAGCGCCTGTGTGTGCACTGCTGCCTGCTGGTGGTGGTGGTGGTGAGGGCGCAGAGAAGGCGGAGGAGGCCATCACCTGATCCACTGCACCCATGCCCCTCTGCACCCCGCCCCCATACTGCTGCCCCCCGTAGCCCGGCTGCTGCTGCGCATGCAGGTGAGGGAAAGGCAGCTGCCCGGCAGCAGGAGGTGCAGCAGAGGGGCCGGCGAAGAAGGAGTTGGGCGCTGCAGCTGCGCTTGGAGGGGCGTGGGTGAGGGATGTGGGCCACGATGCTCCCACCCCACTCACTTGCGGAAACCCACTCGGGTACTCGCTGCCTCGCACTGCTGATGGCGGTGCGTGTGGGTGCAGGGTGAGTTGGTGCGCCTTGGCCAGCAGCGCACTCAGCTCATGCTCACTCAGCCCTGCGCCCAGCAGAGCCGACAGGGCAGCAGAACCACCAGCAGGAGCAGTGGTGGCAGCAGAAGGAGCAGGGCCAGGTGGGGCGGTGGCAGCAGCATGGAGAGGTGCAGCACCCCACAGCCCAGGCAGGTCAGCAGCATGGGCGTGGGCATGGGTGTGCACCAGGCGGTGGCGGTCCTGCCCGATCACTCCTGCTCCCGACGGCACGCGCCGCAGACTGCCGTCCGCGGCAGCAGCGGTGGCAGGCGAAGCAGGGTGCAGGGTGGGCGAGGGTGCAGTGTGCATGGCAGGAGAGGAGGAGCGCGGGGAGGGTGAGGAGGAAGGGGGCAGGGAGGGGACATGCGGTTGCAGCAGCGCCACTGAGCCCTGCCAGGAAGTCGCCAGCCAAACCCTCACCGCCTGCTGCCAGCAGCCCTTGGGACACCTGCCATGCACCCCCCTCCGTACCTGCCCTGCCCCCACCCCCTGTTGCCTGCACCCCTGGCGCCAATTTCCCGGCCGATTCAGTTGCCCTGGGAGCAGCGGCGTGCGGCGCAACAGCAGCAGCAGCACCGGAGGCCCAGGGCTGAAACACAATCATCTCCTCCTCCTCCTCCTGCTCCTCCACGCCACCATTAGCAGCAACGCCAGCCAGCACCCCGTTGTGGCGCTCGGAGTGAGCGGCGAGGGTGTGTGCACTGAGCTCGCGCATGTGCTGCTCGCTCTGCTCCGCTGAGCTGTCCATGCCTATCAGCTCCTCCACCGCCCACAGCGGCACATCCTCGCCATCCCCCTCCCCGTCCTCCTCGCCCTGCCCCTCGCCCCCTGCCTCCACCCCTGCCATCCCCCCCCCAAGCCCCTGCCCCGCGCTTCCCATGCTTGCAGCACCCCAAGGCACGGGCGCAGCAGGCAGGTGGTGGTTGGTCGAGGGTGCAGGGCGAGCAGGAGCGGCGGAAGGAGCAGAGGAGGCAGTGGCTTGTGACCATGCTGCCGCCTTGTCTGCACCACCCACGCCGTTGCCATGTGCCACGTGTGCGGGATGTGGTGCTGTGGCAGCAGGCGGCGAGGGCAGCTGATCCGCCACGAGGGACGCAATGAAGAACCTCCCATGCCGCCTGCTGAAATGCAACACGCTGCTGCTGCCGTCCCCTGCCGCCCATGCTGCCCCACCAGCACCGCCTTGCACCCACCCAGACAGCGACAAAGCAGCGCACACAGCCCTCCTGCCCCGCGCCCACGCTGCCTCCTGCCCCTCCGCGCCCCCCTTGCCGCCCTGCCAGCCGTCCACATCCAGGTGCCCGTCCCTCTGCGCCTCATTAGGCCCCTCACTGCACACATGCGGCAGCGGCTCAAAGCCTCTCAGCTCCACATCCTCCCACAGCCCCGCTGCCTCGCTGCTGCTCTCGCCATGCCCGCCCGCCGGGCCCTGCACGCCCCCCTGGTGCTCCGCCAGCAGCGGTGGCAGCAGGTGGGTGTGCGCGTGCAGCAGGCGGTTGAGCACCACCACGGCCTGCCCCCACATGAACATGCGCGCCGCGCTCTCCCTGTCCTCGCCCCCCCCGCCCGCGCCCTCGCCCGCGTGACCCCCCGGCCCTGTCGCCTCATCGTTGGTGCGCGTGGCGAGGTGGGGGTGGGCGGCGAGCCACCGCAGGAAGACGGTGGCGGCGGGGAAGAGTGGCGAGGCCAAGGGCGCGGGCGAGGCGGCGCAGCGCGAGAGCAGGCGGCCGACGAACTCAAAGGCGAGCGTGACGGCGTGGCGCAGGCGGTCCGCCTGCTGCTGCAGCTGCGCGCTGGGGGGCGTGCCTGTGCTGCGCGTGTCATGGGTGTCGCTGGCGGTGCGGGGGGCGAAGGGGAAGGCGTGGTGCGGGGCGAGCATGGCGTGCACGGTGCACACGACGCACGCCACCATCTGCACCACCACTGTCGCCTCCGCACTCGCGGCAGGGACTGTGGGACACGCGGAGGACCCCGCGGCCAGCACGGGTTGCAGGGCGTGTGGCGGTGCGGCGAGCAGGCGCTCCAAGTCGTTCATGGCCGCCAGATACACGGCGCCGAAGGACTCGAGGCTGCACGCACACACACCATGCACACCATGCACAAGAGGAAACAGAGGCACACACACAAGATGAGAGGAACGTGAAAGGCTGGGCCTGAGGGCAGTGCGGGAGGCGAAGCAAGCAGATTGAGGTAAGAGAGGGAGAGGAGAGGGAGAGGAGAGGGAGAGGAGAGGGAGAGGACCTGGCGTGTGTGAAGAGGATGCCGTTGAGGCGCACAAATCGCGTGCACAGATTCTTCCACGTCACCGCCAGTGCCTCAGCGGGCGCTCCTTGCACTCCTTGCGTCTGCCCTGCTGCCTCTTGCGCCACCCCTTGTGCTGCTTGACGCCCCGTCGCACCCAGGCGATTGCAGCGATTGACGTTCTGCACGAGCATGAGACAGGGGAGAATGGATTTGCTTGGTGTAAGAACTGGCCGCCATCAACTCCCTCGTCCCATACAGCCGTCACCCTTCGCCCCGCTCACATCACTCCCACACTCCGCTGCGCACACAGGGACTCAACGTGTGCGCACAAACGCGAGAAGCACACGTGGCACGTGCTTGGACAATGGAGGCGGGGGGCCAACGGCCTGGTGGCGCGGCGGCAGGCGGGCAAGGCGAGGCCATGAGGAGCGCTGACCTGGTCGAAGAGGACGAGCAGGTTGGCGCGGCCGGTGGCGAAGGGCTGCTTGCAGGCGATGCAGCGGTAGTAGCGGTACAGCGCCGCCACCTCGCTGCCCCCATACGTCGCCAGCACTGCCAGCTGCCCCGCCGTGGCGAGAGAAAAGAAGGCGGTGGAGAGTGGCAACAGGGCGGTGAAGAGAGACAACAAGACGGTGGAAAGAGACAGATGAAAGAACACTTGGGGAGAGAGGAAGAGAGAGGACGAACGCAGGTTGCGAGAGAGGCATGGAGAAGCGTGGGAAGGCAGTGAAGCAAAGGCTGAAAAGGGAATTAGGGTTTGGAAGGTGGGTTATGGGGGCCACCTGGTTGTGCGGGTTGCCAGTGGACGGCAGCATGAACGCCGCTTGCATGTAGTAGCCAGCAGCCACCGACCAATCACGGGTCGCCATGTCACCATCGACGACGAGTTCCCGGTAGCGCGCGAGGTCGCCCAGGTACACGAGGCACTGCTGGCACGCCGCGCGCCACTTGTCGCCGTCGCCCGCCCTGCCCTGCTGCGACTGCGAGTCTGCGACGCCGCGGTCGCACAGCAGGGCGCGGCGCGCCTTGAGCTTGCCGACGAGTTCGTGGAAGAACCCCGCCGCCTCCGACAGAAACCCGCGGTACACCGCCACCGCGCTCGCCGCCGTCGACGCTTCCGCGCGGTCGCCCGTCCCGTCGGACGCGCCTTGCGGACGCGCTTGCGCACGACGTGTGGCGGGGGACCCGCGGGAGAGGATCGAGACGGACGCGGGCTGGCGATCTTGCGCGGAACCCGCCTTGGACGTGGCCGGCGCGGAACGGATGCGGCGGATCTGCGCGCGGAACTCCTCGATGCGGCTGTAGTGCAGGCGCCATAGCAGGTAGAGCACGTCGTGATCGACGGCGAAACGGAAGTCGAGAAAGAGCAGCGCCTCATACGAGTCGCGGATCACCGCCCGCAGCTGCTGCACCGTCGCGTTCCGAGGGCTCTTGCTGGCCAGCAGCGCGCGCAGCTGCTGCTCCTGCTCGCCCACCTGCACACGGCGCACGCATGGCGCGTCAAATCGGCTGTAGGGCAAAGGAAGGATAACAACCAACGCGGATCCAAACACTACGACAGGACCACCGTACCTTCAGCCATCGCCTGCGCACGTCCGGTTGAACCTGAGAAGCTTGGGAATTTGATGCGTTGCCGGTCATCATCCATCATGCTACGCTAAATATCTCGTGATTACTCGGCGCGCCAAAGATGGTCGGCGTCGACGATTAGCTAGGGAAAGAGCAGAGCAGAGAACATAGCGATTCCCCAACACAAGTGAATGGAAGGAAGAGTGGGTGGGGTGGGATGCACGACAATCTCCTTCCGTGCTTCAGAGCTCACTTCGCTCGCCTCATCCAATCATCGTGCACCCCCAGGAAATACTGCCAAGATTTTGTTTGAATGCTGCGTTCTAAATTGGTCAAACAGATATCCAGAACGGTTGGGAGGGTATTAGAGGACAAGAATGTTAGGGCGTGTACACACTCTCCGATTTGCACAAATACACCTATCAGTGCAACTTCAACTTGGTTCTAGCGCAAAGAAAAGTTCGGCGCATGCGATGACGGCTCTGTTTTGCCGACAAATTATAAGGAAGCGCATGGATCCTCCTACAGGCGTAGGAAAAACATTGAAGAACCTGAATGTTATTGCATATTCGAGTGGCCCATGTTCAAATACACATACCGTATTATCCCGGTTATAAGTGCAGGTGCGTTTAAAATAAAACAGCGTTTTTTAGGGGGGTGCGCTTATCATTGAGTAAAAATCATAACTGCATGCGCTTATAAATGACAAGGATAGAATTACATTTTTCTAACACCAAACCGTAGAAATCGTCCCTGCCATTTCAATCGAGTCGAATTTACATGGGGCCGTGAGTGAAATTCTCGCGCGCGCTGGCAAATACATTCGATGTGACTCACAGGGAGCTCTTGACAGCTCATGCTGACTGGACTCGAAGCCTATGCAGGGTTCGAACTCGACAGAACCGAATTTGAAAAGTAAGGCTACTAAAGTGGAAATCGTTACAGACGATTTCAATTTTTAAAATAGGATGCGCTTATAATAAATCAAGGTTTTACAGGGGGTGCGCTTATAATTGAGGATCGGCCATAAGCGCATTGCTCCAGAAATATGCGCATGCGCTTAACATAGGCCTGCGGTTATATCCGGTTGTGATACGGTAGAAGAGCAATTTCAGCCTGGTTCGTACGCAAAGAAAAGTTCGGCGCCTGCAATGATGACTGTGTTTGCCGTAAAATGCTAAGGAAGCGCATGGATCCATAAAGACGTAGGGAAAATCATTGAACGTGTCGGAAAGAACGAACAGGAATGATGAACTAACAGTGCAAAACAGTACAAGTACCTAACCCTAGAATTGTGTACCCCGTATAGGCTAACCCACTGTAGCCTACACAAGCATAACATATATAATGTTTGACACACCCCCATAGGCAAAGTGGGGGAGAACTAGGGGTCACAAGACCAGTCAAGGCAGAGCAAGGCAAAACAAGCTCAGGGTGGATCTCAAGGATTCCACACAAATTCCGAGCACAAGCAAGCGGTCACAAGACCAGTTCACATGCAGGTTTATAATAGAGCAAGAGGTACAATGATCACAACCTAGCAAGAGTAAACATGCAGGTATATATATAAAGATCACAGTACAAACAGAGTCAAGAAGTGAGCAAGTGAGGTCCAGTAGGCACAAGACCTAGGAGAGTGCAAAAGCGCTGATGGTCACAAGGCTGAAGCGCCTTGGTGAACACATCAGCAGTGTTGGCCTCAGTGGCCACGTAACGGAGACAAAGCTGACCACGCTGCTGAAGCTCTCGAGCAAGGAAGTACCGCAGAGCGATGTGCTTCGTTCTTTGCTCCAGTCTATGCTCCTCACACAAGGCAATGGCAGCCTTGTTGTCAACGTACAGCACTGGAGGGGAACGAGGCCGCTCTCCCAAGTCAGTCAGCAGGTAGGTCAGCCAGCGCAGCTCCTGGGCCTCCATGGCTGTGGCGTAGATCTCAGCCTCACAACTGGAGCTGAGAACAGAAGAAGAGCGTGTAGAACGCCAAGAAACTGAGCTAGAGCCAAGGCTGAAGGTGTAACCCTGAGACGACCGCTGAGTAGCCTGGTCGTCCGCCCAAGAAGCGTCTGAGTGTCCAGTGAGTACAACACGGTCTCGCCCTCCAAGCACTAGCCCCATGCCCGACGTACTGCACAAGTAGCGCAACACCCTCTTAGCGGCATCCATGTGCTCCTTCCTGTGACGGCCAGGAGCGACATAGCGTGCAAGGATGCTAAGAGGGTATGCAAGGTCAGGTCGAGTGCAGGTCATCAGGTACATGAGGCAGCCAACAAGCTCTGGATACGGGCCACTCGACTCTACGGACTCATCTGAAGGCAGAGCTGAGAGCGAGTGACCTGTAGGCAGAGGAGTGGCCTGAGGCGAGGAGTACGTGAAGCCGAAGCGCTGAAGGACCTGCTGCACCATGTGTGACTGAGTCAAGGTGATGGTGCGCCGTGCTCTGTCCCGAGTGATCCGCAAGCCAAGGTAGCTTGTCAGTTCACCCAGGTCTGTGCACGTGTGTCGCTTCTGCAGCTCCGACTTCACGTGGGCGAGTGCCTGAGTGTCAGCAGTGGCAAAGACCAAGTCGTCGACGTACACGAGGATGTAGAACGGCGGCAGCGAGGTGTCAGTGCGTAGAAACAGCGACGGGTCAGCAGTAGAAGGAGCGAACCCAAGTGCCGCGAGTGTCGTCCTCAGTGTGTCGTGCCACTCACGTGGCGCCTGGCGGAGACCGTAGACTGGCCGCTGGAGCCTCCACTGGGTACCAGGAGGGAACGACACAGTGAAGCCAGGAGGGCGGCGCAGCCAGATCTCCTCGTGCAGACTGCCCTGCAAGAAAGCAGTGCTGAAGTCAAGAGAGTGAAGCTCGTAGTCTCGCTGAGCGGCTATGTGCAGCAGCACCCGAAGAGTAGTCATCTTTGGGGTGGGGGAGAAGGTCTGGAAGAAGTCTACTCCCTCGCGCTGACTGAAGCCTCGAGCAACGTAGCGTGCCTTGAAGACAGGAGGAGAACCAGGCGGCCGCTTCACCCTGAAAATCCACATGCCACTGACGATGTTCGCCCCAGGTGGGGGAACCTCGTCGACGTAGGTGCCTGTGGACTTCCAGGAAGCCATCTCTGCGTCCATGGCTGTCTGCCACTGAGAGGAGTAGGGACCTGCCACCGCCTCTGCGTAAGAGCGCGGGGTCGGGATGTCTGGTGCATCCGGGTCTCCCTCAGGGGCAACTAGCATGGACACAAGATGGGGCAAAGCAGCAGCAAAGCACTGGAACTCCTCCTGCCTGTCCTCAAGGACGTCCGTGCCTAGAGCACACTCACCCCCGACGGACGGAGGACAGACAGACTCAGACTCAGCAGCAAGGCTAGCGGCGAAGTCTAGACGGCACGCGGCAGCAAAGTCAACCAACTCAGCGACCAGAGCAGACGCAGTAGAGGACTCAAAGGTAGGGTCAGTGACAACAGTGGCGAGGAGACGCGTGACTGTGGGACTGGCAGCACGACGGGAGTCAGACTCCGGGTTTAGGGTTTAGGGTTTAGGGTTTAGGGTTTAGGGTTTAGGGTTTAGGGTTTAGGGTTTAGGGTTTAGGGTTTAGGGTTTAGGGTTTAGGGTTTAGGGTTTAGGGTTTAGGGTTTAGGGTTTAGGGTTTAGGGTTTAGGGTTTAGGGTTTAGGGTTTAGGGTTTAGGGTTAGGGTTTAGGGTTTAGGGTTTAGGGTTTAGGGTTTAGGG